CGTACAAAACATTTTGTTCTAATTCTTAAAGCTAAAAACAACAACATTTTTTGTGGTCTGTTTGAATAGATCTATTTTTACGCATTGAAAGTTTATTGAATTTCTCTTAAGATGAAACTACATAGCGATTTTCAAAATACATATTGTTTTATTATATTATATTAGAGAACACAAAAAAAGATGATTACATTGGAAAATTAACACACCTTTTTTTTGATTACCCACAGCATGACGTGTCAAAGTATCCGTAAGTCATTGTCATCAATTGTCCATTTTGCTTTTAAAAGATATGTAATGTAAAACCGTGCAGATAACGTAATCTTTGTATCTTGTCCGATAAAATATACTCATATCAACCTAATAAAACAGTTTGCAAGAAAAATTACATCCCTCTAGAAAATCCCTCACGAAATAATCATGTGTCACTTAATTGGATATAGCTATTTTTTCTATTTCCACGCGTGACTATTTATGAATAATAATAAAAAATTAATGAATGATCCATCAATTTCCAGCTTATCGGTGCCTGTAAACCACACAGTCCAGGGGCGATGGTTGACTTGCAGACGTCGCCGCCATCGCCGAGCCCGTCGTCGCGGCGTCACCATCACCATCACCATCATCACCACAACAATCGTCACCACCACAGGCACAGCGATCAGCAGCCATCCCCACAGCAACAGCAACAGTCCCCGTCTTCCTCGTCACACCACCAGCTGCTCCAGCACCACCCGATCCAACCACCACAACTACCCCAACAGCCCCCACCCCGTCGCCACCACAACCACTCCCAGGACTCAGGCCGCTCGAGCGACAGTTCGGTCTCTCACAGCCGGACCTCCCTCGAGTCGGGCAGCTACAGGCTGGGCCTGGACTCGCCACACCGATCCTCTCACCACCACCGCTCGCCCAACCAGCCCCCACCGCCCCCGTCCCAGCCTCCGCCCCAACAGCAGAGCCAAGGCAGTGGCAGGAGCAGCGGTGGCGCTGGTACTCTCGAGCTGAGGGCCCACGCCGGTAAGAGTGGCACCCTCGAGGCGACCAAGAATCACCAAAAGAGTCTGCCAGCCAACGAGCCACCGCCACCCCCACCGCCTCTTGGCTTGTCCATGTCTGCGAGCACGCCGCTCTTCAAGAAGAAGACCTTTGCCTCCGTCTCCTCCGCCACCGCGGCTGTCGCCGAGCCCCAGAGGGAGCAGCGCCGGGATGTCAATCTTGACTTTGAGAAGAGCAAAAATGGTAAGCCAACTCTAAATACGTCCCACTTACTGTTATGTAGTACTTATTTTTATTTATATGCTCTCTTCCCCCTGTTGTGTTTGCTCTGTGTCTAATTCACGTATAATGTTGGAAAATTGTCTTTTTTTTTCTCACCAATCCCTTACTTTGTGTACACAACCGTCTTTGATACTTTTGTTGGCAGTTTATTTAATTATAAAAAATTAAAAAATAGAATTTTAAAAAACTACGTTAAAATTCGTTTTGACAGTCCAGTACCGTTGTTACGGATATTTTTTATTATTTAACTATTTAATTGTGACCGAGTGGCTTTTCGATGTAAAAATAATTCCTTGAGTACTGGACGCACTTAATTTATTAAAGCTATTGCTTTTTTCAAATAGTGTGTACTAGTCGATACAAATAATATGTATTTCCCCTGCAACTAATAAACCTGAATTGCTTTCTTTTTTTTTAAATCCAACCAGGCATCAGGAATTCAGAATTTCGCGAGATATTAGAGGCTGCGCTACGAGGAGGTATTCGTTATTCTAAAACTAGAAATCTCATAATAGTGCAACATGATCATTCTATGATATATATCACTTTAACTGAATCGTACATCAAACTCATATAATATAGTCATTAAATTATCTGTCACCATAGCGTCTTGTATTAGTATTTGAATTTCAATTCTTCGTCTCATTAAAAAACAAATAGTATTTTTTTTTTAGCAAGAGTAAATCATTCGACTGTACTCAAACTCATTTCATTGGAAATAATTAATATTCATTGCTGTCCGTGAACTATTACTAATAAATAATAGTCGCGTTATTCATTTCATTTCATTTTATTCCATGTATTCAAACGTTTCATGCCACCCTCCATTCTTCGTCTAATAGTGTATTATACACAACAGTTTTACTAACTCACGTATCTCCTGCAACCCACCTGTAACCCCCAAATCCAAAAGTATAGTGCAACCACTGAAAACTATGATCATAATTGTAAAAATCTCCACTCCATTGACTGAAGCATAAATAAAACCAGATTATAAGCACCAACGATATATCCTATAGCAAATATTTCATACACCACCCGTATCGTGTGAGCCACCCTCACGAACACCCATTTTTAGCTGTAGACAGCATATATGTATAAACATCTTTACAGAAAAGCCCAGCGATTGAAACATAAATAAAAAAAATAACTGTCATCTCTCTTACCCCAGGTCGCGACAACAGGTATCACCACCACCAGGATTCGGGTAGTAGCACGTCACCATATCGCGAACCAAGCCACCCCAGCTTCCGTCAAGATCCAAGCAACGAGAGGCCGGTAGGCTACTGGCAACAACAACAGCAACAGCAATCCGATCAGCAGCACAATTACAGCTACAAATCACCAAGCCAAGGCTCGGACAAGTACCGGCCGGTTCTCGAACCCCCAAGTACCGGCAGCCGGTTTCAGCAGCAACAGCAGCGCGACCGCGTTAACAGCCTCGACAAATCAAAGCCCTCATTTTATGCTCGAACTGCCATTGTCCACCAGCAGCAACAACAACAGCAGCAGCAGCACGGAGTTGGAAAACAGCATCAGTCGAGCGATGGTAGCACAGGAAGCATCGGCAGCAGACGCCACCATGGCTGTTCGGTCTCGATGAGCGAGACCAGCAGTCCCAGGGACGTATTTGGCATGGGTCCACCCATGTTAGGAGACCCGACCGCCAAGAGTATCGCCAAGCAGGCGGCCAACGTGGCCAAGCAGAGGAGTTTCGACGTCATGGCCGAGAGGGTCGAGCGAGAAAAGGAGTTGAGGCGTGCGGTCACGTGCCACAACTCGGACAGTAAGTCTAGATCTTTAGAATTTAGGTGTATTGTTGGTGAGGTTGTGTTTGATCTCTTCATGTTTATCCCCTTTGTAGATACGCAGCAGCCACTGTCACGGAGTTACAGTTTTGTGCAGCAACAGCAACAACAACAACAACAACAGCAGCAGCAACAACAACAACAACAACAACAACAACAACAACATCAACAACAACAGAAAATGAGCAAACAGTCGTCCCGGCGACGGGACCGGGACGATGACGCGATGCACGAGCGCTACCTCGTATCCCAGAACCTCGACGCGTCCCAACCGAGGTTGAGCAGTAGCGCGAGCAGCAGCGCGAGCAACGGCAGTGAAAGTAGTGGCGACGGTAGCAACAGCGGTGGCGAGGCCGACGACGACATCGATGAGCCGGTCGCCGGTCTCGAGGAGGGCAAAAATAAGCGGGCCAATGGAAACCCGAGTCCCCCACCCTCACCCTTCTACGGCAACCTGCTCGTCGACGCTGACCACTTGCTACCGCTTCAGCACTACATTCTTCAGCAAGCTAAGCTCTCTGGTGCGCCGACCGTATTTTTATATTTATATACCCATCTGATCACTTTCTTTTGTTCGTAATGGTAAAATGAAATAAAAAATACTCTTAAAAGTAGGTTGTTACAAGTTTGGCGATCCTCTTCTAACTGAGGAGGGTGAAGATTCTCTGGATGAGGATGGAGGAAGGAGCGTCGAGCTCCATGGTAGAGTTGATGACGATTCCGATGATCAGTTTGCCGACGACGAGGCAGCGAGCAATCAGGGAGATTCGTCGAGCCAAGAGTACCTTGAGGATCACTACGCAGGTTTTTGTTTTTAAATGTCTTCTCCCAACAGATAATGTTATAAACGCTGTCACAATGGATAAAACAACCATATGATGCTCGTAGATCTGGCAAACTACGACACGGCTGGCCTAGCGACTTACTACAACACAGCGGATACTTTGACGAGGCCGCAGGCGACGCCACCACCGCCTCCAAACATCGCCTCCCAGGCGGAGGCACGTGAAAGTATAATGGCCACGCGACCGGTGTCCCTGCCCACGCCGACAGTCATAACAGGTCGTGGCAGGGGTGGTATGGGTGGTTTTGGCCTGAGCGGCCTGGGTAGCACGTGCGTCGACATGACCGACTATGACGAGGCGCGAAAGGACGACGGTGGCGGCGGTGGTGACATCGAGAAGTACGCCCAGGACAATTTGAACCTGAACTGTGGTCGGCCCAAGGGTCTGAGGCTGCTGTTTCGCAAAAAGTTCAGCGTCAGGGACATACTCAGCTGGAGCAAGGACCCCATACCCCAACCTATGCTCGTTGTCGTGGATGGCGAGAAACAGCTCAAACGCGAGGCTTGCAACCTCTTTCGGCTCGTTCAAGTACGTTTGTTTTCGTTTTTTTTTTCTTTTTGCGATAATGTCACTAGTTATTAAACGTCTAAATTAACAGGTCTACATGGGCGATCGTAAGGCAAACGTCGGCATGACCCTGGACGGGGTGGCGATGGAGGTAGTGAACACGGTGTACTCGAAACCAGCGCTGCGCGACGAGCTCTACGTCCAGATCTGCCGTCAAACGACGGAAAATCCTCGCAAAGAGAGCTTACGCCGTGGTTGGGAACTGATGGCCGTATGTCTGGCTTTCGTGCCGCCAAGTGCTACGTTCGAGCCCTATCTCGAAGGTTACATGAACAGGCACAGAGATCCGAACTTTCAGTTCCCCGAAGTAGCCAAGTGGCCCATACACGTGCAAGTCAGTCACTATGCTACAGTCGCGTGCAAGAGGTTGCAGAGGATCGGGGCTCACGGCAAGAGGCAGCCGAGAAAAGCTACTCTCGAGGACATTGATCAAGCGAGGGTTAGTTGGGTGTACAACATAGTGTTTGTTTAAAAACCAAAAACTAATTAGAAAAAAACTTTTTGCTCAATCGTCTGTTTTTCCCTCTTGTATACAGTTGCAAATCTTTCGAGCGTCGATGTTTGGCGCTACGCTGTCCGAAGTGATGGCCCTGCAGCGCGACAGATTCCCTCAGCGTGAGCTACCCTGGATCCAAACGACGCTTACCCGCCAAGTGCTGATACGCGGTGGTACCATGACCGAAGGTATATTCCGCGTGTCCGCGGACGCCGACGAAGTGAATGCCCTCAAGGCACGACTGGATAAATTCGAAGATGGCGCGATACTCGCTGCCTCGCAAGACGCCCACGCCTCAGCCTCGTTGCTCAAGCTCTGGGTGCGTGAGCTTTACGAGCCTCTGATACCGGATTCCTTTTACTCGGAATGCGTCAACATGAGGCACGATGATGCCGAGGTGTCGGCTGCCAACGTTGCCGCTCTCGTCGACAGACTGCCTGAACTCAACAGACGGGTCCTCTACCATCTTATTCATTTCCTGCAGGTTGGTGTGATAATCTCAATTTATGTTTTTCTCCTCAAAGGGGTCCTTGCGTGAATTTGGAAGAAACTTTCAATACTTCAAGTATTAGTGTAATAATGTGTGAAAAGGTATCATACGTCCTAATGTTTCAAAGGAACGTTTTGGGGCACTGGTGTCCTGTTTTCCACATCCAAACCCTAGAGGTGGCGTAATATTATATACTTTAACACCTAAACAAAAGTCTGTTGTTTAGTAGGTAGCATCAACAGGGATTACAGCGAAAGAATAGTTCTCTCAAAATTGTTGCCAAATGTTTATAATTATTGTCTTATGTATAGATTAACATTTTTCCAAGAAACCAAACTTATGATGCATATTTAGTTAAAATTTGTGTTATAACTCATCATTTTGATTAACATAAATTGCACCGACCCTAATATTCTCTCTTACGTAAATCGCTTACTTGAATAACAAGGTTTTGTCACATTATATATATCACAAAACCTTGTTATATATATCCATGCTAGTTGGGCTCTACCCCCCTGTGCGCTTCGCGCGCTAACCCCCACAATTAGTTATTGATAATAAGGAACTATTTGCATGTACCTCCCATTTTAATTACTGATACTCTTTTCGTGATAGGATAAGGAGCATTCTTCGATCCCATTCTGCTCCCATATTTGATGATATTGGCATTATGCCTCTACCACGTGACCTCAGTATATATATGACTAATGTAGAGGGAAAATAACACAGGTCTTATGGGAGGAATCTTGTTTTTATTTTTTTTCGCATTTAAAAAGATATTGAGCTTAAAAAGGTTGTTAATTCCATGTTAATGACATAATGAGAGTTACGTAGTTATTTTTTTCCTTTGGTGAATTCGTTTATGAAGGTTGAAACAGCGAAAAAAATAACTACGTAACTCTCATTATGTCAGTAACATGGAATTAACAACCTTTTTAAGCTCATTATCTTTTTAAATACGAAAAAAAATAAAAACAAGATTCCTCCCATAAGACCTGTGTTATTTTCCCTCTATATTGGTCATATATATACTGAGGTTACGTGGTAGAGGCATAATGCCAATACTCGGTATGAAGAATTCTCTCCTCTTTAATAAAATTCTAAAGGGGATTAGTGAACTGTTTTTAAATATACTTACTAATTTATAAACATTTAAAAAATTTTTCAACTTTTAAAAGAGCAGATGATTTTTATTTCCTTTATTCTACTTGAGATACCAATAATTACAAAACTTTCTTCTGAATATATTTACATCTAACAGTACAATAAATATTAGTCAAATTATTTGACTAGTTCTATAAGTTGATTCAAAACAATGAGCCTCGTTAATAGGGCAACACTTTCGTGGTTTGTGTTATTGTGTAACTAAATGTTATTGGAATTTATGTATGTATTAGTATCACGTCATACAAAGATACATAAAGAATTAAAATTTTTCACATAGTTCAACACCAATATTACTGAAAAAAAGCTTAGCGCATCAACAACTTTATACTTACATGTAAATTGAAATAGAATTGATACAAATTTATTTATGATCTTACTCTTAGTTATATCAATGAATTAATTATTAATTATTCGTATGTATAAAGTCTGTATGTTTGCGTCCTGGGTGGTGTGAAAAAATAGACAAAAAAATTTTTATTTCTCAAAGTAACTTTTTCTATCAAAGTAAAAAGTTTATTTTCAATAGCGAATTTTTGTTGGAAAACTATTTACGGAGGTACTTTAGGGGGCAGTGAGAGGTTATGTGGAATGCCCACACTTTTAAGTATATAATATAGGAAGATATATACTACTGGGAAGATATATACTACTGGGCTTTGACCTGGGCACACTTCGCGGAAACTTTCCCATTTGTAAATATAAGTATTTATAACATATGGCTATAAAATATAAACAAAGAAACCAAAGAAAAACGAGCAACCGCACACCAACCCGTCTGAAAAATNTTATTTAAATTTTAACATTTAATTTGAAGAAAAACTATTATAATTAAATAAAGGCTCTAATTTGTAAAAATGTTATATAACAATTAATTTATAGTATGGGTGTAGCAAGTAGAACAAAAGTATAGTAAAAAAATAAAGGTTGAGTAAAAACGCATTTATTTCGAAAAGTATTAGATATTTTTTTTAATAAACATATTTGCGTACAATTAAATCTGGCCTTTTTAATATGTTAAAATTAAATAAAAGAAGATTTTAGAATCTTTGTGTAAATATTATGACCAGTGTGTATGTTATTAGATAAAAATTTTTTACAAAAATTTTTTTTTACAAAAACAATTTTTTAGAACAAGAACAGGTGCCAGATAGGATAGGACGTCAAAATAGCCAAATTTAACGTTATTTTGCAAGGAATTTGTCAGAAATTTTTTTAATCTATTAGATTACAAGCTTAAGATGGTTAATGAAGGATACCAATAACGAGTCTGCAGTTGTTTCATGAAATTCAAAATAATGGGTTTCATATGGGAGACAATTTTTAAAAAGTAAAAAAATGCTGTGTCAATAATCTCCTATAATTTTAAACAAAAACATCTGTACCGTGATTTTTTGATTAAATGTATTTATCTGGAGTAAGATATTCTTGAAATTTCAAATTTACGAATTCGTGACAGATTTTATTTTTACTTTGTACACTAAACTAATCACAAGAAACATAATGAAATTTTTTCGTAACCTATTATTTTTTCATGTATTCTTTCTTACTTTTTTCCGTCATTGGAAATTAGTTGTCAAATTTCCAAGATCTTGAACATTTACTTGGTGATACTAAAATTAAAATTTAAATCATATTTCATTTTTTCGTTCTATAAGGTTCAATAGGTTTTAATTTTATATAATGTATGTCAATTGATAATAACTGATATTTTACAATCATTTTAAATGTCATTATTTTGTACTTATAAATGGAAAGAGGGCTGAGCGCAGGGCACAGTAGGGCTAAGCCCCACTTTCACATGTACCGTTTTAAAGGAAATAAATGGCTTTGTTACGTATATACGATTTTTTTATGACACCAAAGTTGGTACATAACTTAATAATGGTGATCAATCAATATTTAATGTTATCACACTGTTTTTGGTGTTTAATAAAATACATGACCTTAGAACTTGTTGAAAAGAAGATTACTAACTGTGCAACATTGTGAGATTAAATATGATTATTCTTGACTTTCAGATATTTGCCAGATCAGACGTAGTTGTTAGAACGAAAATGGACGCGAGTAATCTGGCCATGGTCATGGCGCCCAACATACTTCGATGCACCTCGCAGGATCCTCGCGTGATTCTCGAGAACGCGCGTAAGGAAATGGCCTTCGTGCGAACGATGATCGAGACGCTTGAAACTGGCTGGGTCGAGGATTTGCACTGACTATCGCGTTACCTGTATGTTTGAGTAAATAAATATTGATGATACTNTAAGTCTAGCATTTGTTTTTCTTTTCTTAATCACCTTATTTTTTTATTAATTTTATTCATATTAACAGTAGATGTTATAATTAAAAATTTCTTTTTTTTGCAGCTGTCTCGAGAAGTAAATTATATTTTATTTGCCATTTTTGTATAAAATAAAAAATTTGAGTCCAAAATAGTGTATTGTGTTTCTAACAAAACCTCAACTCAAGTTAACTGTTTGACATTTCCAGTGTTGCTCACCAAATTTTACTTGAAAAATTCAGAAAGAGGCTTTTTTATTTTGCTGACATTAACATTTTCATATAATAAAATTAACTTTCATCTAAATTATAAAATTCATGAGCATGTAATCATAACTTATGAAGATATGACAAACAAGATCCTTTTTTCATAAATCTCGTCACAGCTCATCTTACACGTATTACAAAAAATCTTGGTCTTCTAGTTTTACAACTAAGTTATCCCTAAACAAACGAAAGATAGAGTGAAAAACTAAGAGAAAAATTAATGCATGACAGATAGTACTGACGAATAAAAAAATGTCATTTTAAATTAACTAGTAAAAAACAGAGAAGAGCACATCCTCCCATGTTTTTCGTTCTATAAGGTTCAATAGGTTTTAATTTTATATAATGTATGTCAATTGATAATAACTGATATTTTACAATCATTTTAAATGTCATTATTTTGTACTTATAAATGGAAAGAGGGCTGAGCGCAGGGCACAGTGGGGCTAAGCCCCACTTTCACATGTACCGTTTTAAAGGAAATAAATGGCTTTGTTACGTATATACGATTTTTTTATGACACCAAAGTTGGTACATAACTTAATAATGGTGATCAATCAATATTTAATGTTATCACACTGTTTTTGGTGTTTAATAAAATACATGACCTTAGAACTTGTTGAAAAGAAGATTACTAACTGTGCAACATTGTGAGATTAAATATGATTATTCTTGACTTTCAGATATTTGCCAGATCAGACGTAGTTGTTAGAACGAAAATGGACGCGAGTAATCTGGCCATGGTCATGGCGCCCAACATACTTCGATGCACCTCGCAGGATCCTCGCGTGATTCTCGAGAACGCGCGTAAGGAAATGGCCTTCGTGCGAACGATGATCGAGACGCTTGAAACTGGCTGGGTCGAGGATTTGCACTGACTATCGCGTTACCTGTATGTTTGAGTAAATAAATATTGATGATACTGTGTATGTATATGTGTGTGAACTTCGAGCCACTCTATGCCAAATGAATCCACTGTATATTCGTTGATTTTCGATTGTTATTATTATTATTATTATCATAATTATTAGTGATCATAATTGTAAAAATCTA